AAATATCTCAAAAGATACAAATTCAGAATGCTCACACACATCTCTGTTGCGTCTCGTGCGCCAAAACGACTGGTTTACATCATTCAACCTGAAAGACGCGTATTTCCACATCCCAGTATATTATCCACACAGGAAATATCTGAGGTTCGCCTTTCAGGGTGTCTGTTACGAGTACAGAGTACTTCCCTTCGGTCTGTCTCTCAGCCCACGAGTGTTTGTACGGTGTACGGAAGCCGCGATAGCCCCGTTAAAACAACAGGGTATTCGCCTGGCAACTTATCTGGACTATTGGCTCCTTCTCGCACAGTCGGAGCAAGAGGCTATTACGCAGACGAATGTCCTCGTAAAACACCTGCTCGACCTGGGTTTCGTAATAAACACAGAAAAGAGCATGTTGTCTCCAGCCCAGACTGTACTCTTCCTGGGCCTATGCCTGAATTCGGTGCCCTTTACAGCCCGCCTGTCAGCAGAGAGAGTGAAAGCCTTCAGGGCTTGCCTCGCTCATTTCCAGCCACGCAAATATGTTCTCTTCAGATCATGTCTGCGGTTACTGGGGCTCATGGCGTCAGCCATCCTGGTGGTACGACTGGGACGCTTACACATGAGGGAGTTTCAGCGCTGGGTAGCTGCCCTCAGACTGGACCCCGTGCGTCATGGCGCGCGGAGAGTGATGGTCACTATGAAATGCGTAATGGCACTGCGCCACTGGCTGCACCCGACTTTTCTAGTACGGGGCGTGCCTATGGGTGCTGTCCTATCGCGGAAGGTGGTCACCACAGACGCATGTCTGACGGGTTGGGGGGGTATATACGAAGGTCGACCTGTGAGGTGTCTCTGGAGCAGAGACCTCCAACGGTCACACATAAATTATCTGGAGCTTTTAGCGGTGTTCCTCACCCTGAAACGCTTTCTGCCTTTTCTCAAAGGACATCATGTCCTCATGAGGACGGACAACACGACCACAATATCGTATATAAACCGTCAAGGGGGTTTGCGTTCTCTCCAGTTACACATGCTGGCACGCAAACTGATCTTATGGAGCTGCGGACGTCTCCTCTCTCTGTGAGCGACGCACGTACCAGGAGTGATGAACCTCGGGGCAGATCTGCTTACCAGAGGTGCACCACTATATGCAGACTGGACTCTACATCCAATAATTGTGAGTCAGCTGTGGGTGCGTTACGGCCGGGCCGTGGTGGATCTGTTCGCATCAAAAGAAAATGCTCAATGTCAGCTGTTCTTTTCAATGCGCGATTTAAATGCACCATTAGGCGTGGACGCGCTCGTGCACGTTTGGCCTCCGGTCCTTCTGTACGCGTTCCCACCCCTGGCTCTGATACCCCCAACTCTGGCCAGAGTGAGAGAACAACGCCACACACTGATCCTAATAGCTCCACACTGGCCTGCAATGTACTGGCTGGCGGAGATATATCAGCAGCCGTGGCAGCTCCCACTACGCAGGGACATACTGTCTCAGGCGGGGGGGAAGGGGCGATCTTTCACCCACACCCAGAGTGCTTGGCACTACGGGCCTGGCCCGTGAGTGGTATAACCTGAATACAGTGGGACTCCCTCAGAAGGTGATAAACACTATTCAGAGTGCAAGAGCTTCCTCCACCAGGTCCCTCTATGACTGTAAGTGGAGGGTGTTTGAGTAGTGGTGCCTTCAAAAAGGACTCATCTCTTTTCAATGTCTTGTCGGGGTGATTCTATCATTTCTACAGGACCTGATTGATAAACACAGAGCTTTCTCTACGATCAAAGTGTACCTGGTTGCTATTGCTGCATGCCATGTGGGCTTTGAGGGAAAGACGGCTAGCCAACATCCCTTGGTCTACCGTTTTATGAAAGGGGCTCGCAGGCTCCTCCCTGTTTCCAGGTCACTGGTGCCCTTATGGGACTTGGCAGTGGTTTTAGATGGGCTCACTCGACCTCCATTTGAACCCCTGGAAGAAGCTGACATGAAACACCTGTCACTGAAAACAGTGTTGTTATTGGCTCTGGCATCTGCCAAGCGAGTCAGTGACATTCATGCGCTCTCTGTACATCCTTCATGCACTCAGTTTGCCCCGGGGCAAACGAGAGTGTTGCTGAAGCCCAACCCTGCCTTTATACCTAAGGTGGTTGGCTCATTTCCTCTGCCACTGTGTTCCTCTGAGGAACAGCGGCCGAATTTGCTGTGCCCAGTCCGTGCTTTACGCACCTATATGGACAGGTCAAAAGAGTTTCGATGCAATGACCAACTCTTTGTATCCTGGGCTAACCCATATAAGGGCAAGCCCGTTACCAGGCAACGGCTCTCCCACTGGATTGTGGAAGCGATTGCTCTGGCTTATACGAGTCAGGGTTTGCAGGCACCAACGGGCCTGCATGCTCATTCTACTCGTGGACTGGCTACATCCTGGGCTTTGTTCAAGGGTGTTTCCATCCAAGATATTTGTGCAGCAGCGAGCTGGTCCTCACCGCTCACTTTTGTCCGCTTTTACAGGCTAGATGTCTCTGCTCCAAGTGTGGCCCGCGCAGTGCTGGGCCCCGTGTTGAGACAGGGTTCTACCTGTTAAGTTCTGGTTGTTTTGGTGATTTTCGAGATAAGCATGTCTAGCAATACGGGAGTTTCAATATCCCATAGTGAGACATCGAACGGAGTGTTATGAATGAGAACTATAGGTTACTTATGTAACCCCAGTTCTCAGAGTAACACCGTCTCACCAGACGGCCCTTCTTGCTAAGGCGAAGCGAGAAGAGGTGCTTATGTTGAATGACGCTGCGACGTAGCGCAAGCTACTTAAAGGGGGGGTGGATTCCCTGACGTAGACGTAAAGTTCACCAGCCAATCAGGATTGGCGTAATGAGATTGATGCTTCTGTTTGCATACGCGTTGAGGCACATCCCATAGTGAGACACCTCACTTCATGTTACTCTGAGAACTGGGGTTACGTAAGTACCCTATAGTTTCGGGCGACGAAGACTGCTGCTCCGGGGGCGAGAGCGGCGAGTCAGGCGGGAGTAAGCTAGTGTCCACAACAGAGGGTAACGGGATGTCCCCATCTGACCTGTTGCTACGGTCTGCAGTAGATGCAGTGTTGCTGGCGTTTAGTGATGGTTGCTTTAACCATTTTCGTATAAATGATTATCCACAGATGTGTGTCACTGCTGTGGAAGCACTTTGGAAATGATGCACACGCAGCGGAGCAGGTCACGCGCACCTGACACAATTTGTTGTTTGTATTTTTCGCTCCGTTCTCTTTTTTTAATAGAGGGTGCATAACATTCAACTGCCCGAAGATCCCGACGCGAAGCCTGAAGGGTAAACACCAGGTTTACTAATCTACCCGCACAATTTCTCTCTGGTGTCGGAATGTCTCGCTATGTTAGTACATTCTTAAAAATCAAAACACCATTTAATTTCGGGTTAAAATGTGTTGTAACTGCGTTACTGAGCATTGTAACGGGTAATATATTACCCACATGTCATTAGTAATGCGTTACTTTTTGCTGTACAACGAAGTAATGTAATATATTACTGTAACTCCGTTACTTTTGTAACGCGTTACACCCAACACTGGCCAGCATTCACTATACCAGAACCCTGGAACTAGCTCACTGATGGAATGCAGTTGTTTTTAATGTTATAGATTGCACCTTTTGCTTTCCTGCTATAACAAGATAAAATGTCTGCCGTGAAAAAATATCTATCCGGGCCTATGGCTCATTTTTGCTTCGGGCCCCATAGTATGGTAATCCGGCCAAGGTCCCTGTTCAATTGAATTTAAATGAATGCATGAGTGTCAGCAGACAATGATAGCCTCCCATGATGATCCTAATGAGGCGTTCAGCACTGGCAAATCCAATCCAATTGCTATGTCAACAGCAGAATTGTAATTGTGTTGTTATTAAATGTGAACAGATTGATGCAATAACTAAAAATGAGGTGCATGTGGACCAGCTGAATCCTGGAGTCCACTAGGGGAAGTTTCTTTGACACGTCATTAACCATTATCCATGTGGCGGTGTGAGGGGAGAGACAGAGTGGGGGGGGGGGGGGAAGCTAAATGAGGAGCAGGGCTGTGTTAAAGGATTGCAAATTCAAAGTGGTTTGTGAAACGGAGAGACTGAAGGTCCCTCCCCCTCCTCCCCCCCCCCACACCGTGCTGCAGTCAGCCCCTCTCTGAAGCACAGAGCTGAAGCTGAGCACAGCTCCCGTCACATTCTCTCTCCTCCTCTTGAGAGGCTCGCTGTGGCGGCTTTCCCATCCCAGAATGACCTTGCTGTGAGATTGACCGTGCTCCCATCACACTGCATTGGATTATTGGAAATGTTTCTCTGTTGTGCGCTGTTCATAGAGCATGTGCTGTAATGAGCATTTGGACAGGAGTGCTGTGAGTATGTAGGCGGATTACTGAGGACGCGCAGATACACGACGAGACGATCCGGACAGAACAAAGCTTGGTGCAGATTTGTTCATGAGGAGGAAGAGGGACCATCTTTTATCTGTGCTCAACACCTAGGAGCCCATACCTGTTTAACAGTTTTAGCAGAAGGAGATAAAGCCCGGTTTGATCTGCACTTTCCGTTTGGTATTTAAGTTTGGTTTGCAAACAGCAACTCCAGCCTCCTCTTATGTGTGTCTTCGTTCACACTCAGTTGCATGAGGATCATTTTTGATTTGCATGGTAGAGAAATACAAATCATTTCCCTAAGGCTTCTTTAGTTGGAGAAGTGTTCACAGCAGTTTGATGCATTTGGTTGTCAGCTCTTAAGAAACAGTACAATTCCACCGATGCCCTTCATGTAATTCATTTTTCTGAATTTGCTTCCATCTGTGAGGATCTAGTCGCTCATGGGAATAGATTCCTCCTGACCCACACACACTTCCACCACAGTATTAAAGTACGGTACTGGAGAAATACACGGAGCTATGGCTGGGCTCCTCCGATGGACCCTTCCCCGCTTCTCTCTGACCCTCACTGTCCTCCTCTCCTGCTCCTGCTCGGTTCTAGGCAAGAAGAAGCTCTACATCGGAGCCCTGTTCCCCATGAGCGGAGGCTGGCCGGGGGGACAAGCCTGCCTCCCCGCCGCTCAGATGGCTCTGGACCTGGTGAACAGCAGGACCGACATACTGCCCGACTACGAGCTGGAGCTGATACACTACGACAGCATGGTGAGTGACCAACAGATGAGTGCTCCTGCGGCCACTCTCTGCATCTCTGAATACATTGTAATGTATGTTGATCTGAGGGACAAAAGGTTGGATCGTCACTTTAGAATACACAGTAGCAGGAATTCAACTTAACACAATAGAAAAGGACCTGTAGAATATGCAACATTCATGCAATCATTACTGTGAGCATGTTCTAACCCATGACGGTATCGAGTAAGACCATTAATTGCATAGATAAAGTGTCATTTTGGTTTGGGTAGTGCACATTTAGATAATTCAAATAGGATATCCTTTGTTCTAAAATGTAAACTAACTAATTTGATTTGATGGTCAGTTGGTGATGCTTTATGGACCAGTTAAAGCCAATCATACAACAACTTTTGGGTTGCCAGGTTGTGAAGACTCCCTTTTCATTGGTTAAATCATTTAACTCCAAATTGCTGGACTGCTAATGATCTGGACCAACATGATTCATGACATTACATTTGATTTGATTGAACTGACACTTATATCTAAAGGGACTTACACAAAGCCAATGCCGTAGACATGCCTACGGGAGCAAATGGGGTTCGGTGTCTAGCCCAGGGACCCTTCAACATGTCGTGAGGAGGAGGGGTCGAAACGCTGACCCCCTGATGTGCAGATCAGTGTACCATCAGCGAAAAGATACATAAAAGCTAGGTGAAGGACACATTGCACATTATCTACCGATCAGAATATCTCAAGCAGAGTCCACACAGCAGACAATGTGGTATATCTTTTCAGTCTACTCCATATTACAGTTTCCATATCATGTAAAGCCATCATAAGGATGATTGGAAACCATCTATGTGTTTTAAAAGATACCATTGAGTATGGTTGTAGGCCCAGAGAACTGTTCTACATATACAGAGCAGCAAAACAACTACATGTGTGGTCTTGTTTAAAGAGCGCAGCTAAACATTCCACACGTGTTCAGACAGCCCCGCGCTCCTTGCCTTCCTGTCTGCTCCACACAAACTCTCAGCCTCATCTGTGTCTCACGGCTTTCACTCAACCTCTGAACATTATGAAAGCAAAACAACAACGTGTGAATTCAAACGTGATCTGTGCAGGGACATAGACTAATAAACAATGCCATGCAAGAAACACAATTAGAAACTGAACAAAATTGAAACAAAGAGAAATAGAAAATGTTGAATGTTGATCAAGTCAAATGACACTATATCAAACAGTATGGCTCTGCTTTGCTGAATACCTTACTGGATACTGTTCACTTTTTTTGTCCTTACCTTACCTGCATCTCACAAGTTGTATTTGAAGAGCCTATATTTTTGATTTATTCATTGATTTGAACAGGGACAGTGCACATTAATCAACATTTCTGTAGATGTGCTAGGGTTAGCCAAGAGGCTATTTTTCATCTAGTCATCCTAAAGACACATTTCATATAATCAAGTTTTCGCCCAAAAAATGTTTATCACAAATTTAAATAATAAATCAAAGACCCAGATTGCTCAACGCTCAGTCATGCTGTTCAGCCGTGTGTCTCAGTTTATCATTTGAGCTGGGTGTAGTGGTGGCACATCAACAACACACATATTACATGTTCTGAAATGTGATCCAACTATTGTCAACATATTTTCAAATGACCACATAAAACAATACTTACATATGTAACTACGGATGAATGAATGCATGGTAGATTTCAGAGGCAGTCTGTTTGCAGAGGGCATGGAGAATGCAACAGAACTGAGTTGATTTCTATTTCCCATGTCTTGTTCAGGGACATGCCTCGGGATCTTTGTTTTTTGTTATAGCTTTTTTTATTTCTATATATAAAGGACTGAACACTACAGATTGGGACCTTAACCAGTTCATGAGGCCCTTATTATGCGTTTTGGGGTTTTCCCTTTTCTGTAGTGTGTTATAGGTTTGAATGCATGTGAATGGTGTGCAAAGTTTTAAATCCCTGTGTTCAGTTTCTCTCCCACACTGAAACGCCTCCATTGGACTCCTTTGTTTACTTCCATAATTCCATAGTGACATCACTATGTAACACTCGCACTTCTATTGGCTAGCGCTCCAACACATTGCACATGGTAGGCTAAGGGGTGGGACATCTCTAAGACTGGGCTCTGGTTTCAGACAGAGGGTGAAAAGAGGTGTGAGAACAATAAAGAGCTTTTTGAACACAGTAGAGACACTACATACTAATATAAGCCTGAAATTGAGCAGGATAGGGCCCCTTTAATAGTTATATAAAGGTACTATACATAGTTTCTGTACGTATAACAAAACACATTAAAATGCTAATCATGCTTTAGTTGTAAAGAGAAACAAATTGATAACCAGCATAATACAGATATGTTCATTATAAACATTCCTGGGAAGTGTTTAATTATGAAGATGTTCCAGTTGCTGTTTCTCTAAGTTGAATTACAACAAATGTTTGCTAATGTTTATGAATATTGCATGGTACCAATCCAGCTATTTAGTAAGTGGCCTTTCCCATTTTACAATTTTCTGACTGGTTTTTAGAACAGAGGGTAACAGCCAGCAATGAGCACCAGACCTGTGTGAGTCACTGGGCTGATGGAGATGTAAGCTCTACAGAAGCCGGACTATCATGTCTTTAAAACAGTGCTTCTCAAAGTGTGGTCCGCGGACCACTGGTGGTCCGTGAGTATATTGGTAACATTTCACATTTGAAATAAATAAATACATTTAAGTTTTCCGCACCCTCGCAGGAATATCTCCGCAATGCAGCGCGCTAAAGTTTCACTTTCAATTGCATGATATAGCCCAGTGCAACACCTTCATCACACTTGCTGCCACTTGTTTGTACCATTTTCAGGCGATTTGTAATCTGTTCTAGAAAAATGATGCGATTTTGGATATTTGTGGAGTTAGGTGGTCCGCGAGTGTTTTTTTATTGGTTAAGTGGTCCTTGGTGTGAAAAAGTTTGAGAAACACTGCTTTAAAACATGGACTGTCAAAGTAACATGAGACACGAGTCCTTTCAACATACTGCATCACCGCACAGGAGCAGCTGTCACTAGCTGAATGTAACCGAGACATGATGGACATCTATAGAGTGGCTTTAACTGGCATACATCCTAACATCGGCTCTCATGCTGTGTTAGACATGATTCAGGGTCAGGGTTGATTACATGTTGTGATGCTCTCAAGAGTTAGAAATAATGACACATCTGCGATTAAGGGATGTTTTTCTCCAACATCGTTCTGTTTGACTGGTCAGAACCCATGTTTGTTACTCCTCACTTGCAATTTGTCAAATAAATACTTTATTAATAGAGTTTTAACATTCCTTTTGATGTGTTTAATCTTGAAAGCCCCGGGTTTCTCTCTCTAAACATCTGTGAGAGGGAGATATATCCAAGCTTTCATCTTCAGTATCACAAGCGTTGTACAACATCGCATACTAACCATCCTACATACTTAATCACTATGTTCTGGATATCATATTAACATTTAAAACAATACTATGTAACCATTTGACCTCAAAACATTCAATCAAACATGTTTAGCAGCCTCTACATCATAACAGGTGAGGGGGAAGTTAAGAAGAGAAAAAGGGCATCTGTATTCCTGTACTGTTACATAAAAAGAGACATCATCAGATTACTGGAACATTGCTTTTAAATGTTGGTTTCTTCTTTTCTAAGTACACGTTTTTCTGCTGTCATTACATAAAACATCTTATTGATATTTATTTTTTCTTCTCTTTGCATTTGATATTGAGGTTATCCAAAAGTAACGGAAAATAATCAGGGGACATTAGTTACATAGTTTGTTACTTAGATATCTGATTACTGTTAACATGTTAGCAGTAACCCTCCCAACACTGGTCATTGGCTACAGCCTCGCTAAATTGTCGTTTTTAATATTGGATGGATAATAAATATGAACTGTTTTCTTTTTGTATCTGATGCAAAGTTTGTGACCTTATTTCTGGTCATAAGTAATATAATCATAACAAATGCATGTGTAAGCTATGGCTGTCCATATTTGCATATGTCCTTATCGTCATTATGTCGCTTTACGTAAGATATTACCAGTATTCACACGGAATCATGTGGTACTGCATCACATGACTGTCTTGCTTGAATATACTTCAGTGTGGATATCGTGCTGGTGCAGTCAAATGACTCACATTTAAAAAAAAATCGTAATAAATTGGAGCAGATTCCTGTCTGATTCTCACATTCAGCCTTTCCTCACACACACACACACACACACACACACACACACACACACACACACACACACACACACACACACACACACACACACACACACACACACACACACACACACACACACACACACACACACACACACACAGGTGTGCGCTCACTCTGACAGTGATTGGTTCGAGCTGCTCTGCATTGGATCCCCACTTCAAGAGCCTGGAGTTGGCATGACAATAGTAACCAGGGCAACTGCGGTTCAAACAAACAAATATTTGGCTTGAAGGGAAACGTCGAGATCATGCAACTAGTGTCGGAGCACAAACAGGAGCAGATGGCTGCGTGATTTTGGCTGGTCTGTTCTGAGAGAGCCATATTGAACGGAGTTAGCCAAATGTAAGAAGTGCTGTCCGGAGCTGTCACTGATCCCAGACCTTTACAGACCTTTACAGACCACTACAGAACTCTAGAGACCTCCACAGCACCCGGCCGCTCTGCCACGCCAGCTGCACATCACCTCTGACAGTGCTGCAGAATATAATATAATATGTATACAGTATATACCTAATAGAAAATCCTGCAGAGTGGGGATGAACTAGGCTTCCAGAGAGCTGTTAGCAAGTCAGAATTCCTTGGACGATGCAAATGTTACTGGACTTTTTTAGATGAAATGACTCCAAAGGGATGAATGTGGAAATGTTGGTGCTTGTATCCACTTTCCACCTAAGATTGTCACAGCTATCCTCTGATCTCAGTACAGCTCCGCACGCTGCAGTACTTCACCAGTCAGTCACTGCACATCTCTCCAGCTTTCCCCTGAGATCAGGCTGGAAGATGTGCAGACTCTTCAGGGCTGGACGTTGACGGCAGGTCCCAGAGGTTCACGGGGTGAGGATGTGATGGGGGGGTCAGCAACAGTATCTCATTTGAATGTGTTGGTGATTTCCCCGGAGTGCAGGGTTAATGAGTCTACCGCACAGCTCGGGATTACAGCGCCCCACTTTACAGACCAATCTGTTTCATTCAGGGCTGAAGTGAGCAGCTTCCTGTCCGCTGCTTGTTACCGAGCGGTTGACTCTGTGGCATTAGGGGGGGGGGCATGCCTCAGCAGCTTCCTCTAAAGCCCCTGTCACACTGTCCCGAAATTGACACCCGATGAACACACGATAAAGGAAATGTTCAAATTCGGCTGTGATCGTAGCAACATCGGGCCATTCGTGAGGGCATCTAAGCCATCGTATGACCGCCGGTGGAGTTTCTCAGGCTCCGGCAGCAACTTCGTGAGCGGCAACTTCGTAAGGCACTCGTGAGGGCATCTTGTCAAATCGTGTCATCTTCGTGTTATCATCGGTGCATTCACCCTCACTCTGATCGGGGCGAATGCCCGATGGCACCGATGATAACAAGATGCCCTCACGATGGCCTTACGAAGGGCAAAATTGACACACGAATTCAACACGAAAATGAACCTTCGCATGGTCCTTCGGCAATTTTTGGCCATGCCAAAGATGTTGCCACCGCTCACGAAGTTACTGCCGGAGCCTGAGAAACTCCACCGGCGGTCATACGATGGTTTAAGATGCCCTCACGAATGGCCCGATGTTGTTACGATCACAGCCGAATTTGAACATTTCCTTTATCGTGTGTCCATCGGGTTGTTTTATTGCACAACAAAATCATGTAAACATATTATGTAAATAACCCAATTTGTGTTCTGTGAAACTAAAAAGGATATGATATATTATTTTGAAGGAGAGTTGACAGGAAGTTGTTGTTGCTATGGAAACAACATTACGGAGAAAACGTAATATTTTCTACATATAACGACGGATAAAGTAAAGAACAAAGTCTGAAGATATCAGTACAGTATCATAGTACTTTAACATAATTGTTTTTGGTACTTTCATTGCAGTTGTATGTCTTAAATGTAATGTAAATGTTGCCTTCGTGTGTGGTTCGGGGCCATCTTCGTGCGAAATTCACAATTCCATATTCGTGTGTCCATCGGGTGTCAATTTCGGGACAGTGTGACAGGGGCTTAACTGCACACAAATAGATCTCACCTCAGACAGGATGTAGATGCTTTCAGCAGCTGGTTGCTAGGAAACAGTTTGGGTCCAAGTTTACATGCTGTCAGCTATTGATGTTGGCACACACTGCAGCAACAAATTAAGTGCAGCCCGTTTGAAATGTTTGTGCTTTTAACTGAAACAGTTTCTGAACTCCCTCATTACCCCCGACATAACTGCCTCAAACATTCAGTGGTACATCAGTCGGGGTATTTTCTTCCCATTTTTTTTAAAACTTAAAGGATCTTTAGATGGAGTGCTTCCATAATTGATTTTTAGACTCAAGCCAAACTGTTTAATATGTGTTACATTCAAATCTTAAGAGGGGCTATTTTGTTTTGCCTTTACAATGACATATTGAATGAAACCCCTGTCATCTCAGTCAGTAATCTGGTAGTAGGTAGGAGTAGTATATGTTGTTAAGAACAATTACAGAATTATGGAAATACACAGCTACTTTAAGACCATCTCCGTTAATGGGTAATCAATGACCAATAGCCATCTCTGTAAAGTAAACCCACTGGCCTTTGTACTCAGAAATCATTCACATGATGTCTATCTATGCCAGTTTAGCCATGTCAATTATTTTTTCTAAAAGCATTTATTTTTCAATTTGTCAAAGGTGACATGTTCAGGAAATTCAGAAATGTAAAAATGCTGTACCATTTAGAATATCTATATCTATTTCTCTAACTATTTCCAAGGACCTGCAGACACTCTTGGTGGTTTAGAATATATTGGACTGTCTGCTGGGGTTTGTTTAGACACAATGGGAGCAATAGACTGAGAAATGTGTTGAAATATTTGAAGGTGTACTGTACGTATGCCAGGTATGTATACTGTCCAGTTTAAGACATGGATGAAATGAATGTGGAGGGAACTGAACACAGGATGGAAGACGATATAGCACACAGCTAAAAACAGAAGGTTTTGTGAAAGGCAATGTTCCTCAGTGCACATGCAACATAACATAACAGAGAGCTGAGGCATAGCCGGGGGGGGGTGGGGGGGGGGGGGGGTGTGTGCAATGTGAGGCACGTTCCAAGGTCACCCCCATCTCCGGAGACAACATATCTCTGTGGAGCTAAAGGAAAACATTTACCCACAAGTCAACCCCATTATCTGAATCTTTCCATTTACAGCCCATAGTCAATGGAAATCAATAGGCTATTTAAATGATAATGGTGGAGGTGTGGTAGCCATTTTTCATTTAACGCTCATGTTTGGATAACTTTTGGGAATTGATTAGGGTCTTTCGTCATCAGGTCATTGACATTTATCATCGTGTCATATTCCTGCACACAGACCAGTTTCCAAGCACAGCAGAAACTAGAAAACTCTTTTGATGAGAAGAATACCCTGAATAAGAAAACAATGAATATGCAAATCCGTGATTGATCAGTTATGTGAGAACAGTGTTCTAATTGCTCAACCCCATGTTTTGAATATCATGACACATACTGTATGCATGATGACTTAAATGTGATAGAAATGTCTAATATTGATTCAAACAGCTTTTGTGAAATGACACAGGGCTTGATAGCAATGGTTGTGCTTGACAACCATTTGAGAAATGGGCGACCAGTTCTTGGGTTCGGCAAGGGGCAAACTTAACTCATTAATTGTTTAAATACTGCAAATACTTTTTGCTCTTGAACACAGCTGGTTTCCTCTCAAAAAGCACAAAGAGAAGGTACAGTCACGGTTTGAATGCACCTGAGTGCCTTTTAAATGAACTGCAGTTTTAATCATAATTACATTGACAGCAAAGTAAAACAAGTCATTTCACAGGGGAGCAAGAAGAAGTGCTGCAAATAAAACATCCTCCAGTAAGCCAATAAGAAAAGCCCTTTAACATAAATGTGTTTAAATGAATGAATGAAATATTATATATACTATATATAGCCCAATATCTAAAATGATACATTAGTCGCTGGTGCCTTTACAGAGCGTTATCAGTCAGTCAGTTTACAAGCAACAATCCCAAGAAACCGTGCAATTAATGTGGACAAATTGAAGAATCCTTGTGCAGAGCGAGAGAGGAGTTCCTCTCCCAGATGCATAGACATGCAATAGATGTGGTGTTTATAGATGAAAAAGATAATATATTTACAACATATAGACTATATATAAAAAGAAAAAGAAGGTGGATTCAAGCGGACATTCTTCCAGGTGCGGCCGGAAGAGCATCATAACTGGGGGCTGTTTCAAAGCAAGCCTGAGCCAGCCCTAACTCTAAGCTTTATCAAATAAGAAAGTCTTTAGAACTCAATGTCAATCCATGAGGTTGAGCTGCAAGTCAGTCTGATTACCATGCTTATCCAAATTAAATGTATTAGATTAACATACATACACTATTAGACTCTATAGGCTATTTGTTTGGTATGTTGGGTGTAGTGTGTTTCTTATACTGATGTCCTGTGTTCTGTGTGTCTCCACAGTGTGATCCAGGTGAGGCCACCAAGCTGCTCTATGACCTTCTGTACACGGAGCCCATTAAAATCGTGCTGATGCCAGGCTGCAGCTCTGTGTCCACGCTGGTGGCTGAAGCTGCCCGCATGTGGAACCTCATAGTGGTAAGATCTTTCCCCTCTCTGTTATTTCATCTCCAAAACATGAATCCATTCTTCTATTGTCATCTGCTTATCTGCGTTTGGGAAAAACGCAAGCTAATCATGGTTTTTCAGACCTCCCTCCGGCCAGCAAACATTTTCCTGCCAAGATGAAATAAATAATCTCTCCAACATTTCCTGGGTCTACCCCGGGGACAGCTGATATGGTGTCTCAAACTCCCTCTGGATATCTGAGCTAGTCGCAAATCTCTTATGCAGAGGGGAGCTTCAGGTAGGATCACTTGCAAAGGACAACTGCAATGGAAACATTTTAGACTTTGTACCGAGTATACGGCAAGAAGAGAATCTGCAAAGTTCCTCCTGGATCAAGGGTTGTAAAGTCCTTTGAAACCACCAACACGGTCAGCCACTCGACAGCCACTATCCTCTTCCTCCAAGGGACTTTGAGAGGGCATGTCCTCCAACAATGTCCAGAGCCTCCCTCATCTCAGGATGGATCCATAGTTCATTGAGCATTTTGATTACCTACCTAAGTGGATGTCAGCTATGAAGTCTTTCACAAATTCTCTAAACGTGTCTCCTTTGTGAAGAAAGTGTAGGTCAGGTTCAGGAGTTTTTCAAAGACTGACACTGGGGCTGGACGTACAGCGCTTTGAACCAGACATAGCTCGGCTTACCTCTTTGCATAGAACAAGTTTTGGAACCCAACTCATCGAGAGGGGCTGGACTCTTGCCTTTACAGAGGTGCCCAGGGTGAGAGGGGCTGGACTCTTGCGTTTACAGAGGTGCCCAGGGTGAGAGGGGCTGGACTCTTGCCTTTACAGGGGTGCCCAGGGTGAGAGGGGCTGGACTCTTGCCTTTACAGAGGTGCCCAGGGTGAGAGGGGCTGGACTCTTGCCTTTACAGAGGTGCCCAGGGTGAGAGGGGCTGGACTCTTGCCTTTACAGAGGTGCCCAGGGTGAGAGGGGCGGACAGTTGTGGGAAGAGTCTGGCTGTGTGACACTGTGTTGGATTTCACCCGGGATGTCCGAGGGCCGTCTCGATTGTGACTGTGAGTAGTTTGAAGCAGGTTTCTGATGATTGTTTGTGCTTCTGCATTAGCAGCTCAGAATACCCAGCCTTTAGGAGTCTCTGGGAGAGGAAAGAGCAACAATGGAGCCATCAAATCAAATCAAATCAAGTTTTATTTATATAGCACATTTATAAACGATTTTTGGTCGAGCCAAAGTGCTGTACATATAATAAAAATAGCCTACAGTAGAGACACTTTACAGCAAATACAACAGCACAGATTGTTCAGAATATCAGTATGAGAAAAACGACACCCTCTATCCTTAGACCCTCACATCGTACAAGGAAAAACTTCCAGAGAAAACCCACAGTTTAAAGGGAAAACATGGGAGAAACCTCAGGGAGAGCAACAGAGGAGGGATCCCTCTCCCAGGACGGACAGAAGTGCAATAGATGCCGTGTGTAAATCGAAGAGATAATACATTTTACAGCATATAGACCGAATGTTAGGAAATGCATGTGTCTGTAATAAGAAGATGAATCCACGAGGATGTCAGCTACAATCCTGTGGAAGCCATCAGGGAAGCATGACGAGACCCAAGGCAGGACTGCAGAGACAGGTTCAGCCACGACCCGAAGTCCACGACTTAATCCAGAACTCAGGATAGAGGATCCAAGACACAGGACTACAGCAAGAGGATCAGCCTCGACTCCGGATCCCGGCGTAGATATAGATACAAAACAAGAAAAAAGATTTGGCTGGGTTAATCGGAACAAGAGAATACACAGACACAGACAGAGAGGGAAAAGGTCATTGGATAAAAGTTATTCTTGATAACCCTCTAGAAAGATGAACTTCCCCACTCAATCTATCAAGACCCGAGCAGTTCTATTAGATATAGGATAAGAAACAGAGATAGGGAGCACAACAACCTATCTCTTTGTCAGATGCACTCCCCCGCTTATCTAAGCGACTCTGTACTCCGTTACCCTCTACAAGGCCATAGACCAGCAGAGGGAAAATGGGGGGTGGGTAAGGGTAAGGATTTTTAAGAATAAACCGCAAGGGTCTAAAGGGAAAAAATATGAAATATAAGGTACTATATTTTAAGTAATCCTATCTACTATTCCTATATTTGAATAATGTATAAACTATTTTAAAAATACTTTATGAAATCCTATGTTATGTTATAAATATTAAAATAAAGAACTAAATGAATAAATAAATGAATAAATAGATAATTAAACAAAAGCCAAAGAGAAAAAGTGAGTTTTAAATGTTGATTTAAAAACCCCAGGGTCTGGGCCGACCTCACATGGAGGGGCAAAGTATTCCAGAGCCTAGGGCCAGCCGCTGCAAAAGCTTGATGCCCTCGGGTTTTAAGCCTGGTCTTAGGCACTATCAACAACAGCTGATCAGCTGACCTTAAGGCTGTGCCTGAGGTGTAGCGATGGAGGAGTTCGGCTATATAGGCAGGAGCCAGCCCATTTAGGGCATTAAAAACAAATAAAAGGAGTTTAAAATCTATTCTGAACCGAACTGGAAGCCAGTGCAATGAAGCCAGAATTGGGGTGATATGGTCGCGCTTTTTATGGCCAGTGAGAAGACGTGCAGCTGCATTCTGAACTAGCTGGAGGCGTCTAATTGAGGCCTGGTCCATACCCACATACAGAGCATTGCAGTAATCCAGTCTCGAGGTAACAAAGGCGTTAATAACCTTTTCTAGGACTTGTTTAGAGTGGGTGAGGTCCTGATAATTTATTCCGGGAAATTACTCTGACCTACTAATCGACCTGACCGAAGTTATTGAGTCTATGTAAGTTTACTGCTTGGCTCAGATCCACCAACGTCAGCAAGATCTCACCTCTATTAACTCCCCGAAGAACCAGGTTCAATGAACTGCTGTTTCAATTCAGACAACTCTCTTAAATCTGTTTAAGCGATCCCGAAGGATTTTGATATCAGTAATGAGGTGTGACCCTACCTAAGTGTGAGTGTGGCAGGGTGCAATCTTACCTTTGAAGCAGGAGAGGAGAGCACAGATGTCTTTTAAGTTATCCCAGTCCAAAAGGTGGGATCAGTTTATTTGAAGAAAAATAGGTATAAACTATTACAGGGTTTTTACCTTCTCTCTTTACAACATTATAATCATACTAAACAAAATGATGCTGTGATCATGTTCAAATATGAAACTTTAATTCACAGTCTTACATTTATTACCAAAATTGTAACTTCAACTGCCCAATTCAGTTGTGATTTCTAAATCTCCCGATAGAATTTAGAGGCCTTTCCTCATAAATGACCGGTGATAATAAAAAGCACATTCAAACTTTCATTTTCACCCAATCAATTCACATCAATTTCATACCTTTTTTCCGACACAGACGGCGGGAATAACATTCAACAACCCATTCCTATCCGCATGAATTCGGAGGAAGGTCCTCACAGGTGGCAGGGTACTAATATTCACAAACACATCTCCCATCAAATCATTCCACTCAGCAAACACATCTCCCATCAAATCATTCCACTCAGCATTCAACCAAGAAATTTGAGAGATATTTACCAAGTCCGAGAGAACCTTACCGAGAGCTATTTACCCAGCTCTGAAGGACAGAGCCTACCGGGAGAGAATATACCAGGGGAACCCCCCTCTCTCTCTCTCTCTCTCTCCCTCCCAAAAAGACAGTCTCTTTATGCTCAAAAAACAGGATAGAAAACCCCAAAAACACCTCCTCCATACCCAAACCAATGAAACAAACTGGGCTTGGCCTCTGATGTACAGGGCTGGACATGACCAGACATATTCCATAGCTTATGGCATAAGACACACCTTCCCATGTTTGTGTAAAAAGGGACATGACCAGACATATTCTATGGCTATGACATAACCACCTTTTTGAGGCCTCAATGCATTTCTCCTTAGGTCCGGAGCCCCCCTCCCTGTGATCTGCTGTGAGAGGAGAGGGAAGAAACTGCCTACTCTCTTATCACTGACACCCATACATCATTATAGGTCTTACACTCAACTTAACAAACCACTTGGTTTATACTGTAAATATAGAAAAACATAACATATGAAACATTTTCATTGTGGGTTATACAAGAATATAATTGATTATATTTGATTATAATTAACTTTTGTTTTAAGTATTCAACATACTATGAAGATCTCAACACCCTCTTTTTAAAACGCAAAGTTATCAAACAGCAACAACTAAAATTGTAAGCATACATACATATTCAAAAACCATCAAGAAGCATTCTCATTATGGGTTCATACAAGAATATGATTGATCATATATGATTTATAATTAACTTTTGTTTTAATTATTCACTTGATACTATGATCTCAACAGTCTTTAAAAGATAAAAACGACTGAAAAAGCAGGTCTTGACTATAGTGCTAACCTGCTTATCAAATTTAAAGGCGCTGTTGAAGGTCACTCCAAGGTTCATAACAGAGGGGAAGATATTTTTATTGAGGGAGCCCAGAATATCAACCGGGGAGACTGTTGGTTGGGGTCCAAAAAAGATGACCTCGGTCTTACTCTCATTAAGGGTGAGGAAATGTTGGCTCAGCCAGGATTTAATCTCTGTTAAGCAGTCCTTCAACTGCTGTAGTGAGTTGGCATTTTGATTGAGAGGCAGATAGATCTGTACATCATCAGCGTAACAATGGAAGGGGATATTATGTTTTGTAAGAATTGAACCTAGGGGCAGTATGTACAATAGAAAAAGTATGGGGCCCAGAATCGAGCCTTGGGGAACCCCACAGGTAAGAGGGGCTTTGGCAGAGGAGAAGGCACCTAACTGCACTGAGAAGCTACGGTCCGTCAAATAAGACCTGAACCATGCAAGAGCAGAGCCTGTAATGCCTGCGGACTGTTCAAGCCGTGACAACAGGATACTATGATCCACAGTGTCAAAGGCAGCCGTTAAATCTAACAGCACCAAAACAACTGGGCTGCCTGAGTCGGCGGCTTAGAGC